TGTCAAATACTTAGCAATCTATTTAAATCCCCATTGGGGAAAAAGGTTTGAGGGACAGATTTTAGACAGAGCTGATGCTTTAGAGTTGTACCAATAATTCTAACCAGAAATCCTTATTTTCTGTCTACCTTTCTTTTAATATGCTGGTAAATGAATGCATATTATGTTACAGAAATAAGAATTAGTCATGACTTCTGTCTAGACCTTCTAAAATGACTTCTTACAAGTTGACTCCTGAGTCTATATCTGGTGGTAAAGGTGACAAACTTCAAAGCCCCCCAAAAGAGCAAGTCACAAGGGAGGACCCATCCCACTTCATTTGGCATTATTGGCCCCCAGATACACTTCTGAGCTCTTATTGCTCCCAGGAGCACCCAGTGACAAGATGTTTCCCACTAGCATTGTCCCCCTCCAGTGAAGCCATGCCAACCCAATAGGTTGTTGCAGGGCTGTTGGTATTTCCTTCCCTTGTTAATTCTAGTTTAAAGCCCTCTTGCTCAGTCCCACCATCCTACACGCAAAGATGTGCTTTCTCCATCAGGACAGGTGGATCATGTCAGGCCCAAGTCCTGTCATGCCATACCAATCTGGGATGCTTTTTTCAGGTCTTTAATCCTACAATTAAATGAACTGTTCAAGCTCATGTATCCATACATTTTTTAAACCTGGAACATCAGTAATATGGAGACTGTATTCATATGATCCTTACCTACTTTACACCAAGCCTTCCTCATATATGAGACAACACAGCAGCTTGGTAGTGTTTATAATAAATTATCTATATTGTGCTGATTTATTCCCCTTTAAATTGTCCAGAGAGAAATCTCCTCACATTTTTAAAGCTGGGATGTTTGTGATTTTCAAAGTGCAAATGTATTGTGCAGAAAGTAAAAAGTCATCTACCAGTTAGCAGCAGAACAGAATTAAATATGAGATTGGCATTTCCTACACAGATTCAATTTTGCTATTTGTTCTTCATCTTCTGTTGAATGAGTATATCTAATATTGAAAGAGGGAAAAAAAGGAGCAATGTCCTCAAAACAATAGATTAAGCTAGTCTGTCTCTTTCTTAACTCACAGGGAACAAGTATTCAGGGAAAGGGAAAAATAGATATCATAGATTATATATTACTGAGGAGCAGGAATCAAAGGAACTCAAGAGGAAGCAAGTGATTAATCTATATTTTACATTAAAAAACAATATGACCCTGGCATTAGCAAGTATGAAAAGCTATGGCTACTACTGATTCCTTCCTGTATAATGACTACTGTTGGTTTTGAATAAGAGGACAAAAGTCACTTTCTAAGTGCTAAAGGAATTACCATTGGCATGGGTTTACATTGGAGGATTGGTATCCAAACACTGATGTGACACAAGTAAAGCCGGTGGGACAACCTTCATGTGAGGTCAGTTGCAGAGCAGACGTTGGGAAGGTAAGTTTTCACAAAGGAGTTGTAATGAAGCTTAAATCTGAAGCAAAAGTGCCATAATTGGAACACCACCCACAGTCCATTATAAAATTCCACACCCCATGATTATATATTATGCAAAAATTCGTGTTAACTTCAAGTACATGTAAATATTGCTTCCCACCTGAAATTCCTTCTTCTTCCTGTGTGTTTAGAAAAATGGAAATTTTATATGTGAGAAGTACAGAGAATGTTACTGTGACTATATAGTAAAATAATAATTTTTTGCAGCTTCTGTAAGTAGAGTGAAACTGCATGCACAACAATGGAGAAAATATTCCCAAGGGAAATCTAAACATCTCTTTTTACAAGAAGTAAAGTATTTTTACCATTTGCGTTTGCTGTTAAGTCAGTACCCTTACATGCACACACATCTTACCATCATGTTCTGAACAATTTAGGAAAAACATTTTGCCTATAATTGCACACCAGTGCAGCACTTCCCCCCTTACTTGAATTGTGTAAGCAACCAACTTCTAGTAGCACTTTTCTCCTTTTCATTCAAGACAACAGATATTGAAATAAAGAAAAATAGCAGCAGCTGACAGTTTTAATTTAACACACAAGTCATTAAATGAACAAAAAATGGGCTTCCCACACTTGAACTCTACCATTGCATCACTCATAGTCCACTTGAGCCTATGTAGCTACAGAAATCAGAGAGAAGACTCAGGTGAATGGACTTACACATGTTCCTAAGCAGGGTTGAAACACCCCTGAAAGTGTGTTTTTCTGGAGTTGTGTATAAGTGTCACAAAATCCTTCTTTCTCACAGATATCTATCTTTTTAGGAAAATGTGATTAAATTCATTACTAATGATCTGGGAACATAAACAGAGCATTACTGCACATCTTTATAAAGCAAAAGCAGGCCTAGATTAGAATTCTCTAACTAATTGCTTCCCCAGTTCCATTGTGACAAACTGGCCATACAGCAGATCTGCTTCCAAACTGCTGCCCATGTGATGTTTTTCATGGAAAGACATCAGAAAGGACTGCCTGATTACTCCACAAAGTGCTATCTTTGATGAACTTTAACTGGCATTGGATAATTAACTTTTCTGTTTTCTAATGCATCTCTGCAGCCAATTTGGTTTAGCTGTATTGAATACTTTGTTGTTTCCTTTGTAAAAAGAGGGTAACAACATTTACTTACAACATGTACTTACCTATTCAGCCTTCCGGGCAGCTTAAATTACGCTTACTTAGAGAAACAATCCAGAATGTAGCTACCTTTTTATTTATTTTTTTTTAAACTGAGATGATGAAGGGATGATACTATCATCTTTGACTGTAAAAGAAGCAGTGCCAAAAGATATAGCTTAACAGCATCTACAAAGTTCCATAGAAATTGAGGTTATTTATATCCCATGGGAAGGTGCAGTGATTTTATTACATATTACATACTTGGCAGAATTTTTTTTACATACCAGTTGAAACTTCAAAAAATGGCCATAGGAATGACAGTATACCTGTTTTGATTACAAAGTCTTGCTTAGGAGAGTTTACTTCTGCACTCCTTGGTATGAGGAAAGCTTGGAGACATAGGAGTGGCATTAGAGGAAGTAACATGGCATGCATGCAGACAGACAGACTTCTTCAAAAGGATGGCATGCCTATGCAGGCAGCAGGGGAGCTTTTGAACTTGTGCTGTTTACCTAATTCATGGTTTCTAGTGCAGAAATATTTATTGGGCCTCCAAGAACAGATCGTTTGGGTCATTAGTATTCTAGGAACCAGGATGAAGTCACAGTCAAGGAAATCATGCAAAAAACTAGTCAAGTATTTCTCTAGTATCTTGTATGTTCTTTCTACAGATGTTTTTAAGATCATCATGCTTGGTTGTAATCAATGCAATTTACAGCAACTCTTTCCAGTTTATGTACTTGCTCAATAACTTTCCCGCATTTATATAAATATCACACTTTTCATTGGTACTGCACACACAAACCAGACTCCCTAAAAAGGCCTTGGTATAATGGAAATCCAGACATAATGAGCAAATTCAATCATGCTGATGTTCCCATCATGAAAAGAGAAGTGATGTCCTTTTTGTTATGCTGTTACCAAGCTGTTGCTGGTCTTTTAGACTTCAAGATCAGTTAGGACCTTTGCTCAAGAGTAGTCTCACTGATTTTAGTAGAATTACCTCAGAGTAAGGAAAAATAAGAATCAAGATGTTAGTATCTGAAGTTATGCCTGATGAGCAAATGACACTTAAGATGTGTGTTGCATTCAAAAATGGAAAAATACTTTTAGCCAGTTTATATGCAGGCAAAAGTGAAGCAGTTGCAGGGATTTGGTGATGCACCACATTAGCTGATGAATAATGCTGTTTCCCAGCTTTCAGAAACGAGGGATGCTTCACTTTTACATATGAATAATATGGTGCCAGAATATATTTCTGAAGGATATATTTCCCACTCAATGTCTGTCACATTTTATGCAGTGTGAAATCTATATAAACACTTTATGTTCACTATTGCTTGGTGTTTCTATTCATGTTAGTACAATGCACATTCTGGATATGGAAGAGATTTTCTCCAGGAATTATGTATAGATACCAACATTAGTTGAACCAGCTGTATAGTAAATAGCTTTTATTTTATAACTTTGTTTATACACAGTAATTTTTATTACCTCCCCTTTTATTTTTATTTATCTTTGAATAAAATTGCGGTTACTTTAAAGTGAAAAATTAAACTGTTAAATATTAAAGTTTCATAAAAAAACTTTATGAAATTCAACAAACCCCAAATTACTGTTACATGTACTGTTACTAATTTCCACATTGGTACAGACCTAATCAAATAATCTGGTCATCGAACATCCAGAACACTATGAATAATAAATCAGCTTAAGCAAATAAAAGATCCAAGGACAAGACTAATCCTAATAAATAATAGATGTGAGCTTTCGTTAGAAGTCAGATTCTGGGGGAATTTTACTGAAAATGTCAAGAAAGAAGAGTGCTTCCTGTTCATGAATGATACAGGCTATTAAGCAAAAATGTTAAAATATACTCATTGAAGTCTATATTATAAAGAGAGGTATAGTTATAGTAAAGAACAATTAATGTTTATTAGTGACCAGTGGAATTGTATTTAGATAAATAGTTCATTGTGCTTGTGTGAAGAGATTTTTTTCTCCTTGTTGGCTGGGTTTTTAATTTTCACTAGTCCCAGATAGCTTGATCCTATTTGTATGGTGGTGGCTGAGGTTATTGTAACAGGTTTCTACTGATTATAAGTAGGAGCTGAGCTGGAACTGAAAGTGTGCTCACTGATTGATTGCCTGTCTGCAGGCAGTGGACAGAATCTGTGTTTCTTTTCAAGTTCAGAAAGATTCACAAAACAAATCTAAAAGGTCTAATTTTTCCAATTAACACTGTAGAAGAAGAGTCTACTTTTTCTGAATTAATTAAAATACTGTAATAATGCAGTTTTAAACTAAGTAACTTAAAATTAATGTCAAATTCTAATCTTGCCTTTATTGGTGCAAATTTAAAAGCATTTCTTTTGTGTCTGTAGAGTTACTTTATTCAGAGAAGATGAGTTCACAAGCAGAACCAGAGAAGGTAAAGGCAAAATACATCATAGGAAGGTACAGTACAAATTGTGTCGTTAATTCTAAATTCTATATTCCACATCAGAAAAACTGAAAACCTTATTTGTTTCTTTTTTCCTCTAATAACTTTTGCTGTATCTAACAGTAGCATGTATTGCACTAAATAGCAATTTTGCACATGCCATGGGCCTGATTCCAATATTACAGATACCTAACATTGGAGTGCAAAAGCAGGCTTTGGATGTGTTGAATTCAGCATATCCAAAACAAAGATAGAACAAAAAGAAACCTATTAAAAGCTCCAGCCTAACTTCTACTCTAACTTAAATAATTCTATTTAAAAAAAAACAACAACAAAATAACATCTTGAGACTAACTGTTCTTTCTTTGTTTTTATTAAATACGGTGGTTTTAATTCAGCATGAGATGCCGATAGGTGTTTCTTCAGGGGGAAATTAATTTGGTGCATGACAGCAATTCCTAGAATTCTGTGAAATAGATCTAGGAAAAAAATACTGCGAGAGGAAGCATGGTGAAAATCTGTATTAAAAAAATGCGTAATGACTGTGCATGAAAACAGAACATTTACTCAGTTTCAAATATCACTTTGTTTTTAAACTGGGATCAATTACTTCAAATAATTTCCCTTTTGCACATTCCACTTAGGTAAAATTTTACATTTAAAATAAAAGAAGGGAAAGCCCCCTGGTTGCTAAGTTTAGTGGAAATCCCAGCTTCAGTGGAATCACTGCTAGACCAGGTTTCATGCTAGACCATTTATTTCTATATTCAAGTAAAAATTCTCTGAAATGTTTTGGAGCCTTTGACTTAAGACTGCTGAACAAGGCCAGTCAGATTTCTGGCTTTTCATTAAAGAAAACACAAAAAATCCCTGAAATGTTAAAGTAATGGCTTGATGTTTCTCTGTATGAGGCCATACTTGAATGTATAAAATTTATTCTGATATTGTACTAAACCAGTTCTGACCAACTAAAGAAAGTTGCAGTTTATGTTTCTCTGTAACAAAAAGCCGTTTTGCTGCACAATCTGCTTAAGTAGGTTTTATACTAGTTATTGTATTGGGATAGTGAGCCTCTAAAAGAGGTGAAGTCTGCTTTTACATGCAAATGCATTACTCCTATTGAAGCCAAGTCAGACCCTGAGATCAATATAGGTGTAAAACTGCTGATTCTTAGCTATGGGAGGGATTAGTGGCAAGGTAATCCAAGGATTACACAGCCCCAGGAATTGAAAGCAGTCCCCAAGAAAAGACATTGTTAGAAGTGAGTCATATTTGGGAGTATTTTTTTACATCTTGACAAAAAAAAAAAAAAAAAAATCATAGAATCATAGAATAGTTAGGGTTGGAAAGGACCTTAAGATCATCTAGTTCCAAACCCCCTGCCATGGGCAGGGACACCTCACACTAAACCGTCTCACCGAAGGCTTCGTCCAATCTGGTCTTGAGCGCTGCCAGGGATGGAGCATTCACAACCTCCCTGGGCAACCCATTCCAGTGCCTCACCGCCCTAACAGGAAAGAATTTCCTCCTTATATCCAATCTAAACTTCCCTTGTTTAAGTTTTAACCCGTTACCCCTTGTCCTGTCACTACAGTAATCGAGGAAAGCAACACTCTAAAACAGAGGAAATTTTAGCTTTTTAGAAAAATATTATAAAATCTGTTGTTCTATCACTATTTGATTTAATAATGTGCCTAAAATCCCCTGGTATAAAGATCCATATTATGCTGTACAAGCATAGAGCCATGAGGTGGCCTCTGATCCAAAGTGGCTACCTCAAGGGAATGAGACTGCACAACTGCATATAGATGAGCTGGGGAAGTGTAGGGAGTCAAGGAGACTGACTAGCACCATTCTGGGCTGCAAGGGGCTAATGTGTCAGACTCCTAAACTCTGAGCAGTTTTCTTCATAGGAGAGAGATACTCAGAGTGGTGGGGATGGGGGAGAGTTGGAGAAGACTTTGCAGATGACTGGGGTACATGGGAAGCCCAACATAGCACCGAGATGCTTCCTTTAAAATCTAAGAAGTGATTAATGAAAACTGGCACCACTGGCTATTTGGGGAAATATCTGTGTCTCAGTGCAAAGATAAGAGCTAAGATAACAACAGGGCATTAAAGGACCTTGAGGAGAAAGGAATACCTCAGGTTCATTATAAGAAGGAAGATACAGTCAGGGCATAGCTGAAAGAGCAGAAGTGAGGGGAAAGTTAGAGCAACCTTCTAAATGACCTAAGGAATAAAAAGCAGCTTGAGAAGATTAAGTCACATTTTAAAAGTGTTTCCCTCCCACCCCCATCCCCTTTTGGCCAGTTTTACTCCTGACCAATCAATAATACTGAAAGAGGTGAGACAGGAAAGAATTAAGCCAGAAGGTTTATGCATCTCCTCCCTAGAAAGGTGCTCAGGGGTTGGCATAACATCCACCCTTTCCAGCTCTTAAAGGAAGGAAGCAGTACGAAGACTCGTCAACATTTTTCTCTGGAATTGTCCTAGTGCAATCGTTACAAGACTT